AGCCAGGGGCTGCATCCTGACCAGGAGCTCCTCATGCAGGTGTCCAAAATGTGGAGGAGCCAGACACAGACCTGCAAGAACCACAGGATCTTGGCCAATCTTCAAGAGCAGAGGTAGATTTTGTTGTACACCCAGTGCTGTGTTGTCTCCCCAGCTTGCCACCACCAAGTCATGCTCATGCTGACCTCCCTTTTTGCTGCCCTGCTGGTTTGTGCCTTGAGAGTGGGCTGGGCAGCGGGGCCTGTGGATGGACATGGGCTGTGTGGGAGGGAGGAGCAGGAGAGTTTTCCTTGGAGAAGCCTGCTCAGATCCTACAGATCTAAGCTCAACACAGATCTGTGTTGAGTGTGGGATTTTTTGGCCTTGTTCTCTTCACAATGTAAGATGAGGCTTTCATCTGCATCATGATGCTAAGACCTCCAGCTTCCTTCCCAGAGCAAGCTGTGATGAGTCCTGATCTCCATGTACCCTCTTCCCAACCCTGCCAGACCACCTGTTTCCAGGTGTCTGCTTTCACCTGAGAGCTGGTATTGCAGTGGTGGCCCTGAAGCTGTCTTCTAAAATGAGACTTTGCCAAGTGTCTCTCTCTTCCTCTCAGCATAGAAAATGGCTTGTTTTTCAGCTGCCAACATATATTCGTGGAAGGCATTACATCCCAGTGGGGCTGGCAGGATTCAGTCACTCCGTGGATGTACCATGGATTCCCCTCAAAGTGGAGAAGGTAAGAGGGAATCTGTCTCACTTCCACATTTTCAGTGTGGCAAGCAGGGCTGTAGCTGCCAGCCCCACTGGTGGCCCTCAGCATTGCCCACAGAGGGGCCTGGCATCCCTCCAGACCCATCACAAAGTGCTGCTGAAGCAACTGGTTATTGGAGAGGCCACGCAGGACATGCTGTAGGGAGGCCCAAGGACGCTGTGCAGCACCTGTGGAGGGCATTGCTCCCCCTGGACATCATCAGGTGGTCCGTAGGAAAGTTTTGCAGGAGCTTTTGCTGTAGCACCTTGAAAAAGCAGCAGATAAATCAGAGAGAGAGAGAGAGGGGAAAAGCCTCAGGAGTCAGATGAGCTGGGCTGGGGTCCTTCCCTGAGCTCCAAGAGCTCTCACTCTGCGTGTCCCGCTTTTCTAAAAGCAGTCATAAATGCTTTTTAAAGGCAAGTTGTGCATCAGAGAGAATTTCTGCTGCCAGGAGACATCCCAGTTCACTTCAATGTAGTGTATTACTGCATTGATCCGTGAGTATGGGAGAAGATTTTCCTCATGGTGCCTCCACTGGTCAGTGGCATGGATACAGGATGAGATCAGGATGATTCTGGCTGTGTTGTCTGAGGAATAGATCCCTCTGGCTACAGCTGCACTTTGCTCCAAGGTGCTCTTGTGCATCCATTTCCATGCTCAGCACCTCAGTCTCTCCTGTTCTCCGTGCAGGTTTTCAGGATCCTGCCGCTGTCGGGTGTGCTGCAGCCGGGAGAGAGACAGGAGGTCTTCTTCACCTTCACTGGCCACCTCAACACCATGGCCCAAGTCACAGCGCTGTGCCACGTGGAGGGAGGCCCCACCTACGAGGTGAAGCTGACCGGGGAGGCCTCACGTGTCAGCTTCTCCCTGAGCGCCCGGGAGATCAACTGCGGCTCCCAGGTACCCCACGGGTCCCCGGGCACAGCTCCTCGCCTCGCTGCCTTCCTGCCCACCTCGCTCCAGGGCTCCCTTCCCAGCCCCTTTGTTGTCTCTGGGGCTTGGAAGTACAACCTTTGTGGGACACATCTGGCATCCAAGCTGTAAAATGGCCGTCTCCAACCCTCTCCAAAATGCTGGGAATACCTCTTGTTCAGGGGACTTAACACTGCCTCCTGAGGCACCGCAGGGGGATGCTCTGGACGTCCCTCTGCTGATCCACTCCAAAAGCCTGACCTCCAAGGAGATGCTCTTGTCGAACGCTCTTCTTAATCCATGCAATAATCAGGGGAAGATCTTGGGCTTCCAGTCACTATAGCTGGAGACACTGTCCCAGAATGATCCCCACTTCACTCTTTTTCAGTTGAAAGCCCACAGCTATTTCCAGCTGCTGGCCCTGTCGGTGTTGCTCTGTGTGACTCCCTTGTTGCCTGTATGCTGCTTGCCAATACTTGCATGCAGGTGCCTTTTCTTTTGGAGTGCCTCCGTGCTGTCTCTGTTTCTCCTGGCTGCTGGTGACCCCTCAGAGGGCCTGTGTCCCCACAATGAAATGTGTTCATTTATTACTGGCCCTCCCATGGTTGTTGCCACACCTCTGGGTGCTGCCAGAGCTCCCTGGTCCTGTGCAGGTGCCCTGTGCCTGGGGGTTCCCCGGGTTCCCAAGTGCCCCCATCTCCTCTCTGGTCCCTGCTCCCATCAGGTGTCTGCTTTCAAGGCCAGGAGAGAGGAAGGAGATTCCCAGCAGCAGGCCTGGCTCTGTAACTTCCCGCTCTCTGCCTTCTCTGCAGATGTTTAACGAAGTTCATCACAGCACGGTCATCCTGGCAAACACCAGCAAGATTAAATTCAACTGGGTGCTAGAACCCAGCACTGCAGACCAAGACCTGCCTGGTGTGTTTCTGGTCAAGCCCACCACTGTAAGTAGCACGAGTGACTGACCCCAGCCCTGTCAGGTGGCCCAGGAGAGTGTTAAAGGGACAAAAGAGGGGGAGGGGGAAAAGGGGGAAAAAGGTCCGAGGGGAAAACCCCAAACTCAGCCACGAGATAGAGAGGGCTGTAAGCAATTTCTTCTGGGGGCAGAGAAAGTCAAACCAGTGCTATTGAAAGTCAATAAAGCAAAAGGAACAGTGGTGGGTGCTTGGCTCGTGTGCTTAGCCATAGCCAGAGGCACACCAGTCAACACAACCACATCCATTATAGACCCTGGGTACTGCAACAGCCTAATACAAATTCACAAATGGTTACACATATTCAAATATTTTAACATAGTTCCTCCTCCATCCTGCCTTTTTGGAGCATGTACAGTTGCCCTAGTCCTGGTCATTTGGTACTTTTTGACACATTCAACAGGTTCCCATTAACTTCATTGGTTAAATGTTAATATGACAGCAACTCTTCCCCAACACTGGTATCACCACAAAACATTTGCCTTAAAAAAATTCTAAACTTTAGCAAAAATTCTTTGACAAAAGCCAACATTATAAAACACACAGTATTTACTCTAACAACTGTGCAAGGCAACACTATAATGTATTTATCACAAAGGTGATGTGGTCTGATGGTTTCTTCTAGATAGAGAACCTGTCTTGTCAGCCTGTCTGTCCCCTGAGCCATCCCCCATCAAACACTCTGATGTATTCCCTTCCTCCTCTGCCATTCCTGCAGGGCTCCATTGCATGTGGCAGGAAGCAAGTGCTGAGATTCTCTTACATGCCAGGAGTACCAGGAGCCTTTAGCAGGACATACCAGCTTAAAGTGGGTGACCTGGAGCCGGAAAAGATCTGCCTGAAAGGAGAAGCGTCCTTTCCTATGATCAGTGTCAACCTGCCCTGGAACATCAAAGGTGGGCACTGCCTGTGTGCCCCCAGGAAGGGCCCCTCTGGTTTTGTTCCCTACCAAATGCCCACAGGGCAGCTCATGCCCACCTGCACCAAGCCTGGAGGGCTGCAGGACTCCCAGAGCCGCTCAAGCCATCTGACTGCTTTGTGAGTCTTGAGCAGAGGATCCCATGTGGCCTTTGTCCCAGGAACCATCCTGCAGAGCTTGCCAGCACATCTGGCAGGGTCCTGAAGGATGATGGCTGGCCTGAAAGGCTTGGGAAAGCTGTAAGAGAGGCTGGCAGGGCTTCTGGCAGGGTTGGATTTGCGTGACATTGCAGGGGATGAGATGTTCCTCTGTGGGGAGGAAGATGGGTAGGAGCGAACGTGAGCATTCCGAGAGGAGCAGCAGCATCCGCTTTCCATAGATGGCTTGAGGGATTTCTTTCTGGAAGAAAGCAGTGTTTGGGAGCTAGGGACTTCCCAATTTAAGTGGGATTGGCACTTTGCTCACACTTCTCTTGGTGGATGTTTTCTTCCTTCAGGAAATGAGAAACGTGGAAAGCCACTACGGCTTGCAGAACACAGGCAGCAATACAGTGAGACCCTGAAAATTCAGATCCCAGCAGCTCAGCCCTTAAAAAGTCCAGATGTGAAGACTGGGAAGCTGCAGCCCTGCATGCCTGGAGGCTCTGACATTGTAGTAAGAACAGCTGCAGCCCCGTTTGGCACATGCCACTGTGTCCATGTCGCCTGAGCCCCTTGCAGCCCACAGCAGTTTCCCGGTGCCCTGATGGCACTTGGGACCTCCCTGCCCACTTAGAACCATGTGTCACCTCAGCATTGCCCCTAGGGCTGCCACTCTGGCCATGGTCTCTCTGGGGGTTGGCTTGCACCAGCTTGTCAGACACCGAGCAGCCAGACAGGAGAACCCCACACCCCTCTCAACAAGAGCAGGGTGGGATCCTTTCTCAGGTGCAAACCTCGGGAAAGACCTTTGCTAACCAGACACTGTCTGTCTTCCGTTTCCTCAGGCAAACACTCGGCTGCAGATAAAGATGATCGAGAAGGCTGCTCTGGAGCTGCAGAAGAAGCTCACGTGCCATCCCCCAAAGACCGAGTTCCCTGACAAAAAGCTGTGCCAGAGCCTTGTCAAGTGAGTAGGGACTCCCATCCCCATCTCCAGGTGCCCCGTGGGGAACAGCCAGCAATGTCCCCTTCTCCTGAGAGCTCCTTGTTTCTGCAGAGCTGGGAATAGCCTGGACTGCAGCGAGGCTCTTGTCCCGGTGGCTGTGACACGCTGCGTGTGAGCAGCTGAGTGCCCTCCCTTCCCCAGCACCACGCTGAGCTTTGGACTCAGCTCCCCACAGCTGTGGGGTTCTGTCCCTAGAGCTGAGGGGACCCACTGCAGACCTTCAAGCCCTTCCAGACAGCATCAATTCTGTCCCTGCTGACTAGCTCTGAAAGAGACAATTCCCAGCTGATGTCTTGGTTCCAACTAACAGAGCACACTAAACAAAAGGAGGAGGGAACTGCACATGTCAGCAAACCCTTGAAAGCCCAAAATCAGATGGCTTGAATCCTGGTGGGGTGGCAGGGCTTATCTAATTAACTTGGTCTGTCCCTTTGCACCATCATGATGCAGCACAAGCAAGGGAGGCTTCAATTCAGGAAGATGCTCTGCAGAACAGATCAGGTGATCTGGCTGCAGAGCAGTGAAGATTTCCTGTGCAGGCAAATCTTATTGCTAGGCCCCAAAGCAATTTCAGGCTCAGGCTGTACACCAGGCTAAGTAGTTTCATTTAGTCCAGTGGAGGCCCAGTGGACTCACCTCTACTGGCTTTTCATGGCAGAGGAGCTGTGGACAGTTTCCATTTTAAACTAATTTTATTTCCAGGTACCATTAGTAGCTGATAAAACCTAGGACCTGCACTCCTCCTGACTTCCCAAAGTCATTGCCAGGTGGTCAGGCCATGGGTTTCACGGGCTTGAGCTGAGTTTTTGCAGCAGTGAATAAAGAAATAGCCACTTGATTTGTATCCTCCATCCACCTGGACATGTAGGCAGGCTGTGGTTTAAGGACTGTCCTTACTCCTCCTTGCAGAGTTGAGCTGCCCGAGTATGTCCTGGACATGGGCACTGTCCTGAAGGGTTTCACTGAGAGACGCACTCTGGAGATCACCAACCCTGGGCAGATCCCAGTGTCCTTCTGGGTCGATGCATCTGTCCTGCAGGACACAGGTAAGCAGTGCTGGAGACACTTCCTGTGGGCATGGAGGAGGTGTCTCACCCAGATTAGCTGAAGCCACTGAACTTGGGGAGGTTTTTCAGCTTTTTCTTCTCCCTGCCCCTGCTGGGAGCTTCAGAGGCAGAATCCTCCTGTCCAGCCATGCCCAGGGACCTGGCCTGCCTACAAGTGCCCTGACACTCCAGTGTGGGGCCAGATGGGCTCATCACCCTGGTCACCTCTCAGCATCTTCTGCCCTTGGCTCCCACGAGCATCAAGTTTCTTTGGGCACTCTGTGGCCTTGTTTTGTGAACCAGTGGTGTCTGCTGTGTTTTGGAAGTGCTTTGTTTGGAGTTCACACTGTCACAGCACTTGTATTCAGCCTTTCTTGAGGAAACAGCCTGTGAGATCCTCTGGTGGATCAAAAGAGGCTTCCAGAAGAGGCCTTGAGGCAAGGCTGCACTTGCATCACACAGTGGCTCGCTGTGTCGAGGGGCGTTCAGGTGCACTCTGAGTTTTTGTCCAGGTCACAGCACAGCCTGGGGTTTTTCCCAGACCTCTCACCAGGACAGCTGTAAGGCCTTAACGTGCTTCTGACACATTGCTTGTGTTTCCTGTGTATCTCAGCTGCTTTGTTTTCATCTGTTCAAGGTTTCAGCGTGGACCTGGGCCAGATGAAGAGTCTGCCCCACATGCACACCCTGAGGTTTGATGTGTGCTTTGAAAGTGCCCAGCAACCACAGGGTGACGTGGATGTGCTGCTGCCCATACAGGTACCACAGCTCTTGGGGCAGGCAGCAGGCTGGGCACAGCAGCAGATGTCACCTGCACCCTCTGCTGAATTCTCTGTCCTTCTACAGGTAACAAAAGGCCCCACGTCTCACATCCGCCTCCGTGCCACTGTCTTGGAACTGTCGCTCGACCTCTCCCAGAACACACTGCAGTTCCCCAGTATCCTCGTTGGGCAGTGCCAGGTTGAGACAGTCCAGCTCTACAACGGGTTCCAAGTGCCCTGCAAATGGTTCATCACTGCCATCAAGCCTGTTACGAAGGTAAAGCACAGGCAGCACTGAACACACAACTTCTGGCTGGGTTTTCTTTGTGTCTCCTGCCCTTTCTGCTCCTGTGGCTGCCCGAGCACTTGGGTCTGTGGTGTGTTTGAAGAAGTTTCTGAGGGTCTAGATCAAGGCTGGTTTTCCTAGACCTGTTCCATTAGCTGCTGCTTTGCTTTTGTGCCATCTTCAGCCATTCCTCCTCCTCTGAGGACAGCAGTTCCCTCAGCCTGCCCTGTCTACAGGTTTTCCCTCCAGCTCTAGGCTTTGGGGCCACACTTGGTTTGGCTGTGGGTGCTGTCAGCGCTGTATCAGTGTCTCAGAGCACTACAGGAACTGAGGCTCTGTCCTCACAGGCTGAGGAGACCTCACCCCATTGGTTTCTGTGTCCAGAGCAATCAACTCAGATACATGACACCAGCCCAAGGTCAGAAGCAGCAGGCGCTGGAGGAAAGGCGCTGTCCCTTTGAAGTGACGCCCTCCAAAGGAACCCTTGATGCAGGAGCGTGGCAGAACTTGCAAATCCAGTTTGCACCCAAGGAGGAGGTGAGATTGGCAGCTGTCAGCCCAGGAGGCCTGTCAGGGCTATCTGGAAATGAGGGCCTGGTGCAGAGAGTGTGGGACGAGCTCTGCCTTCACAGGGGGCTTTCTGCAAGCGCCGTGCTCAGCGTGGCTCAGTTCAGCCCACAGAGCACTCCCGGGAGATGTGCTCTGAAATGCCCACAGGGAGCTTGCACAGAGAGCATCAGGGCTCTGTGGCTGCCTCTCGGCACAGGGGAGGGATGTGCCCAGCTCCCCTCAGCCTCCCCCTTGCCTGGCCCTGTTTGCAGCTGCGACACTCGGTGCAGAGCAGCTGCACACTCGCAGAGGATAATCCTGGAATGGCCGCTGCACAACTGACTGGCAAAACAGCCACCAGACACCTTCCTGAGCATGGCAGGACAGTCACCTGTCGTGGTGTGCTGCCAGCAGTCAGTCCCTGGGGCTCTGGCCTGCCTGCACATTCCCACACAGCTGGGGATTCAACTGAAAAGGATGCAGCATTCCCAAAAGTACTTTGCCTGGGGCCGCTGGGTCTTGGAAACTGACAGTGTGTAGCAGTATGGACACAAGTGCTTCTGTGCCCACAGACAGTCCCAGGGACCTTTTAATTGCTCAAGAGATGTAAACATCTTGTGTCTGGCTTTGATCAGAGCCAAACACCAAGCAGAGAAGGTGACCCTTATTTCTGGCCAGCCAGAGCTCATTTGCCTCTCTCCTGGAGCTGGCGTTTGCCTGATGCAGCAGTGCCAGGACTGGGTGTGGACACTGTAACCCCAAGGGCCCTTCTCTTGAGCACTGCACTCCTGCATGCCTGGGTGAAAACGCCTGGCAGTCCACTGTCCATCCATCTGGTACCCAATACCCAGTGACAGTGCACACCAGGACTCATCCCAGTTACTCACACCCAGACACAGGCGCTGTAGTCCCTCGCAGAAGTGAATATCTGGTTTCTGTTCACCTTGGAGGGACTGATAACACCCTGGCCTTGGGGCAAGCGCTGTATTTGGGGTCCTGGGGCTTCATGGATAAGTTTTCTGCACTTTTCTCTTTTCAGAGGTCTTACAAGTATGAACTGAAACTTAACATTCATGGGAGCAGCAATCACTTAAGTCTGCACCTCTCGGGGCAAGGTCTGGAGCCACGGTTGGAGTTCAGTCCCCCAGCACTAAAGATGGGATGGGGGCTGGTGGACAGCGATGGGGTGGAGGCCACAGTGGTGGTGAAGAACCCATGCAAATTCCCCATCGAGTTTTACTCCCTGGATTTTGATGAGCAGTACCTGGAGGAGGAGAAGGTGAGAAGGCAGGTCTGGTCCCCGTGTACATGCTGCCCAAGCTTCACAGCACTCCAATCTTCCCAGGCTTGTGTCAGGGAGATGGAGGCAATGCCCAGGGCAAAGCCAGCTCTGCTGATGTGCTGTGGGAGGATTTAAAGAGTTTGTGTTGTTGGGAGGAAGGGAGGAGACAGAAAATGGGTTTATTGCATCTGTGGGATGAAAGGTGAGAAAAGGAATCTTGCATATGGTTTCTCTTCCCTGCTGGCAGGCTGGGCATGACTTGGGCTGGGCATGTGCTCTGGCAGAAAACTCCACTGGTTCTCAGGGCTTTGCTGGCAGAGTGCAGTCCTGGCTAGTGTGGCTAGTGTGGCTGCAGGCAGTGAGCAGCTCATGGTCATTGTTTTCTTCAGATGAGTCACTTGGGAGGGGTTTCTCTCCCAGTCCTGCTTGTAGCTCTTGCCTCTGCTCTGGAGCCTGCTCACCCCACTGGGCATAACAAAATACTTGTACTTGATGGAAATCAAAAAGCCCATTGCCAAAAGCTCAGTGCCTTCAAAGAAGGAGTTGTGAGGATGAAGGTGACAGAAGTATAAACAGGATTTTCTCTCGTCTTTTAGATGCTGAGGCATCTGGGACTGCATCCCCAAGGGCCTCCCCTTCCCCCTGCTGCTGTCCTCTCCAGAGTTGACTGCCCAGAGGAGCGGCTGGGCTCTGCAGAGCATGTGAAGCCCTTCACCATTGTTACACCTGAAGACAATCTGGTGGGTACTGCAGTGGTGCTGGCACTGAAGGTGCCAGGGCAGGGACCAGGCTAGATGGGGGCATGAGGGACAGGTGGATGGAAAAGGATCATTGTGGAGAGGTAGTGAAGATGTGATGGGGCCCCACGTCTGCAGGTCTCCTTTCTGTCAGGGATGGGGCAAAAGAGACAGCTTTGCTGGAGACAGAGCAGTTCTGTAAGAGGGGAAAAATCACTTAAAACCACCAACTTCCTTTGAGGAGAGGATCCTGAGTTAGAAGGGGTGTCCTAGACAAAACAAACCCCAGTAAGGAAGACCAAGTTCCTGGGCAGGTGCACTTATTTATTCTCTCTTCCATTGGTGAACGAAGGCCCATTTTTCTTTCCAGGATGGGAATGTCTCAGGGCTCACCCCTCTCTCCCTTTTCTCTCTCCCTTTAGGCCAAGACCCCAGATGAGATGGGCAGTTCTGCTGAGGGCCAGCCAAAGAAGGGTAAAGCAGCCAGCAGAGACAAGTTTCCAAAGGGGAGCCAAATATCTACACAGAGAACAGAAAGTCCCTGGGAATCCTCCAGCACAAGGTCCAAATGTACACTGGAAAGTGCCTCAGTCCCCACAGAATTCCTCAGGTGAGCTGCACAGGAGGAGGTGATGCCTCTGCTTCTTGGTCCTCTTGCCAAACAAGGTCCATCGTCCCCAGCTGCACAGGGACCCTGTGCCAGGGCCTCCATGGGATGGCCAGTGCACCCTCCTTGTTTCATTTGCTCCTCAGCCATGTCTGAAGCCTCCTCTTTAATTGCCAGGCTGAAACGGTACCGCTGGATAGTGCCTGCCCTCGGTGAGGTGGAACTGAAGGTCCACTTCTCCACCAAAAAGCCAGGGGAGTTTGAGCAGACGCTGAGGTTTGAGCTGGTGGGGACAAAGCGGCAGTACGAGCTGCCCTGCAGTGGCACCGGCCTGTACCCCAGCATCAGCCAGAACCCACGGTAAGGCTGGCCCCTGGCAGCCTCCCACACTGCTGGGGCTGCTCCTTGGGCATTCTGGCCTGGGCACATGGTGCTGCCTGACGTCACCCAGCATCTCTTTCTGTGCTGGGAGCTGGGAAGGCAGATGGTCCCTGAGCCACCAGGATGGGTTATGGCTTTCTGACTGCATTTCCTACCTGCAGCATCTCATAGCTCCTCCTTCCCTGCTTTCTCTGCCCAGGCTGGTGTTTCCACAGTGGAGGAGGACCATGAAGGAAGGTGAAATCATCTTCAAGGAATATGTTGAGAGCACCAAGCAATTCCACTTTGGACCGCTGCTGTGTGGGAAATCAAGAGAGTGGTATGTGCTCCCTGCTGGGTGTTGTACTTTCCTGGACACGCTTGGGGACATGGACACAATCCAGGGCAGTCCCTGGCAGAGTCCTGGCACACACCTGGGTTTGAAGGAGCACAGATGTGTGAACCTGAGCATACAAGAGGCAAATGAGCCTTGGGGGAGCCGCTCTGCCTGCCTGCTGGGTGCCTTGGCCAGAGCCCCAGGCTGCTGCCAGTCCAGAGGGGACTTGGGGCAACTTTTGTCTGCCTCCACATCTCAGCTTCACCCCTTAGGAAATGTATGGTGGTTTTTGAAGTGCTTTGAGCTCGGCAGTTAGCCTGAGTGAGCAATTATTCTGTAGGTGGTTTTGTAAAGCTATCATTGATCTGTAATTATTAATAAGATTTTATGGCTGACCTGCCAGTGGGTGTCAGGGGGTATGTACAGCAGGAACTACATTTGCCTGTAATGACATTGCATCATCACTGCTGGATAAAGTCTGCCTGAAAACGTTGTCATTGAAGCCATTGTGCATTTCTACTTTTACTGTCACTTTTTAAAAAATAGTATTTAACATTAAGTTCTTGTCTCCATGGGAGCTCTGGAGGGCTAAATCTATTTTGACAACACAGTTTCAAAAAACAGACAATCTTTAGCCAGGTTTATGGGATGGTCTGGGATTTCTGTTTGCCTCTTTAACCCTTTCACTCCAAAGTCATTTCCACACCTGAGAGAAGGGTCACTTGTTATCTTTTTGCATTCCTCTTGGGAAATGATGCTTTATATTTCTTTCTCAGATTTTGTGATAAGCCATGAAATCCAAAGCAGTTTCATGACTTTTTGGAAAGAGATCAGCTAAACTCTTTTTCCAAAAGCCTTTCTTTATACCCTGCAGGGAAGGCACCCCAAGAAAGAAGGGGAAAGAACCCATGGGCCTGGTGTACTGTTATTTTTCTAGGCACCTTTGAATTTACATTGTATTAAAAACACTTGAAGTGGCCTGAGCATCATCAGGCTTCTGGGGTGGAGGCCCCAAGTACAGGGGAAGGCATCAAAGTCAGGCAAGGATGAGCACATGCCCACGCCCCTGGCTGGGATCCACTTCCCTCACTTGTTTGTTAGAGCAGGGTCCTCCAGCACCGCTTCCTCGGCTGCACACGGTGCTTTCCTCGATGCGTGGCAAAGGCAACAGTCTCCTCTGCAGCCTTTTCCCCTTTTGTGGACAGGTACAAGGCCCAGAACTGTCCTGCCAACTCGGAGAATATAACCATCCTCAACAACTCCCCCATGGACGTAGAGGTCCAGTTCTTCTTTGAGGATGATGAAAAAGCAGAGACGTTCCTTCTGGACCCTCCCAGCATGACCCTGAAACCAAAGAAGAAGCAGGTAGGAGAGGGGCAGGGAGAGCAGGCACCGTAGAAGTGCCCAGGAGCTGCTGCTCCTGCTCACACACAGAGCTCTTTCTATTTCTTTCCGTGGGGCCGGGTCCAGGAGCTGACCATTTGGGCATACCCCACTTCCCCTGGCTTCCTGGAAGACAAACTCATCTGCTGCATTGACAAGAACCCAGAGCCAGTGGTCTTCAGCGTGTGCTGCCACGGGGTGCACGTGAAGCTGGAGGTCAGCCCCCTGGAGCTGTCTTTTGACAAGCTGCTTCTGCACAGGTCAGTCATCCCACAAGCACTCCAAGACTTGTGACAAAGACAAAACATTTGACTCTGCTTTCCAGGGCTCGGATGGAGCTGCTCCAGGTTGCATTCAGTGGCGAGGCTGGTGTGACCAGCCAGCAGCTGATGCCAAGTGCCTCCTGTCTCTGCAGGACTGACAGCAGGACCTTGGTCCTGAAAAACAACACCCTACTGCCCATGGCCTGGCAGCTCAGTGGGCTGGATGACCTTGCTGAGGACTTCTCACTGTCACAAGATAACGGCACCATTGATCCCCGCTCAGAGTTTGAAGTGACAGTGAATTTCAAGGCCCAGCAGATTGGCACCATTGAGAAGACCCTTCGACTAGAGGTGAGAGGGACTGTGCCCTGCCTGGCACAGTGAGCAGCCACGTGCTCTTAGGGACAGAGTCAGGAAGAGCTGCCCCTGACAGACACAAGGGTGCTGTGACCCCAACTTGTGCCTCTACACAGCGTTTGCCAGAACGTGCAGTGCATCCACATCCCCCAGATAAGCAGACACTGCACCCTGAGCCTGTAGCACAAGCACCTTGGCCCTGTGAATGGTTGAAGGTTGTTGTTTGGTTGTACAGACTGCAGCGTGATCTCTGCATTTCTCCTGGAGCTTGTCCAAACCTCTGGCATCGTGCAACAAACTCTGCCCCTGGCATTTTGTTCCCCATGGTTTAGGGGCTGCATTTCAGAGAGGGTGCTAGGTGATTGCAAAGGGTTGTCAATGCCACCTGCTCTGAGACACCCTACACTTCCTGTGGTTGTTCTTACATCCCTGTGCCTCTCAAGGAAGCTTTAGCAGCAGCATTCCCTGCTGTAGGAATGCAGAGTTGGGCTGATGGGGTTTTTTACTGCAGCAGAATCCCACTGGGACAGCCCATGAGATGAACGGGTTAGGAAAGCTTGGGTGTCCACCAACACTTGTGAAGCTGGGGAGGCCATAGGGGAAGCAGCCAGCAGAGACAAGGACTTAGAGGCTGTCTAGCAAAAGAATAATCTGAACAGTGTTTGTTTCTTGCTTCCTCAGGTTTCAGATACAGAAAACATCCTGGGGATTGTTCAGGTTGAAAACATCAAACTGTCTGCAGAGGTGTATGATGTTCTCCTGAGCATGGTCCTGCCTGAAGGTCAGTGGATGTCTCCCAAACAAAGCAGTCCAGGTGCACTGCCTTACCTTGGGTGGTGGGTGACCAAAGCACTTGGGATGGGATGGGATGCAAGGATGGCATGGATACATAAAGCACATACCCTGCAAGCTGCATGGAATAAAGCACTGTCAGGGCACTGGCAGCCTTAAGTCTCTCCCCTCTGAACTTTGAAGTGTGCAGCTTCACGTGCAGGTTGGATTTGGGGGCTTTGAAACACCAGTGACGTGAACAGGCAGTTGGCAATTCCCACAGGCTCAGCACAGCATGTAAAGTGATGGGATTTGTGCTTGGAAGCGAGGAAATGGAAGCCGAGCTCCTTAGCTACTAAGCCTGCAGATATTTTGAGTAAGAAGAGAAAGGGCAGACAAGTAGCTGGAAAACCCTTCCAAGAACAGAAACTTGCTGAAAAGGGTTTTGTGCTGGGACCTCCATGTAGCTTGGGACCTGGTGTATTCTGCAGCAGCTCACAAATACCATGTCTGATCTCGCTCTGCGCGTTGTCTGCAGATGAAACCTTGGATTTTGGAACCATCCATGTCCTGGATAATGTGAAGACCGTCCTGACTCTAAAGAACAAAGGGTTGTACAACATCGAGTACAGGTGAGTCCAGCTGCCTGGTGGTGAGCATTTCCCTGGGTTCCCAGGCCTGCAGTCTCCCTCTGTCAATGGTTAGAACCTGTTTCCATGCTGGCTACCTCACAATAAACACAAAACCTGGGCTCCCTCAGCTATTTCACCAGAGATTCCAGCCACAAACTAGCAGTTCTCCACAGTTCAGCAGGGAACCCAAAGGAGAGCCCCAAGAATTTCAGGCACTGAAATGCTGAGATTCATTGCCTTTCTTTGATGGTCACCTCCTTTCTCCTTCTGAGACTCTGTAAAAGAGTGAATGAAAAATTTCAGTGTCAACGCTTCTTGCAATAACCTCATGACTGTCTGTGCTCTCTGTCAGCATCCAGGATTCCCTGAGCAGAGCTGCACTCTCCCTTTTCTTCTTTTTCTGGTCCTATGCAAAGTCCTGGCTGTGCTGGCAGCACCTCTACTTGTAACTGCAGAGATCTCCATTCCTTCCCTTTCTCCCCAGATTGATGCTGAAGGGTGCAGGTCCCAGGATGCGAGACTTGGCATCCCACTTCACTGTCAAGCCTCAGTCGGGCAAGCTGATCGCCTCCCAGCCTGGTGTGAATATTGAGATATTCTTCCACCCCACAAGGGAAATGCTCCTCAAGAACAGCCCCATCCTGTACTGCCAGGTGAGCTGCCTGGGCCAGGCTGTTACCACACGGTGTTTTGGGAGCATAAACAGGACAGGTGTCTAATGGAAGGAGGGCTTTAACTGGAGAATCCTCTCTCCTACGTACACAAACAAAGTCTTCAAAACCATTTGGGAGGCTTCCTAAGGGAGCTGAGAATCTGACTCTGGAGGAGGTGCTTTAACTGGGTGGGTGAACTGATGGAGGCCTGGGGTGGAGGCTGGGGACTGGAGTAGAGGCTGGCTGGCCTCTTTGCTTTGTTTACCACCCCTTCCTGTGGACACAGGTGATAGATGCCATCGCAGGGGAAGGAGGCCAGACTGTCGCCAACATCCCAGTGAGGGTGTCGGCCAGAGCTGCGTACAGCAAGTTCAGTATTGAGCCCATCAATTTCGGTGCCATGATGAAGGGCAGCAAGAAGACCCAGACTGTCGTGCTGGAGAACACAGGCACGATCAGCTTCAAATTCCACATCCAGCCAGCAACCGAGGATGCATCTTCACTGGAAAGCAAAAGGTACGAGAAGCCCTGCACCACCCTTCCTGCCTGAGGAGGCACCAGCCCACGGCTGAGATGTGGCAGGCAGCCAGACCTGGGCTATCGCCCATTTGCATCCCTGCCTTGGGGAGAGGGAGCAAAACACGCCTCAGTGTCCCCATGTGTAGTAGGAAGCTGGTGCTCGAGCTGCTCTGTCCAGCAATGGGTGCTGCAGGCTGCTCTCTGGAACCATCTGGAGCAGGAAGGCTTTCCTCTGTGAGGAGGAAGGCCAGCTTTGGCCTCAGAGAAAGGCAGGGGAGCTCAGCATGACAGATACCTCTGCTTTCTCCTCTCAGTTCAAAGCAAGGGGAATCTGTTCCATCAGCTAGGAAGTGCTCAGCGGGAAGGAAATCAAGCTTGACACAGGTGGGTGACTCCTGCTCCCCAACAATGCAGCTGCTGCAGGGGATGTGAGAAGATGCTGCTGTGCCCAGGCTGGGGGCTCATCTCCATTGGGTGGGACGTGGTCTGCAGGATGGAGTCCAGGATCTGCTCAGTCCCATTGACAGTCCTGTACTCTGGCTCTGACCTGCAGTTGTGGGCTCAGCAGAGGGGAGCAGGTCCTGTGTGTGATAGCTGCTGGCCAGCATGTGTCTGTGAACACCACAGAAGCAAAAACATCCCCCCTGAACTCCCGGTCCACAGAGCTCAGACAACATTTTTTTTTCTTCCTTTTCTTCATCTCATTCCCCTACCTCTCTCCCATCATTTCTCACAGCTGTTTCTGCTCTCCTGTTACCTCTGGAGGCTGAGGATCACAGCTACCACCTTCATTCTTTACACTCAATCTCCTTTCTCTCTGCCACTTGAGACAGGCTTGCAGCTCCTCTTGGCTTGTTGGGCTCAACCTGGAGCTGCCTTTGGGCCATGGAGTCATCTTTCCCTGCCCTGGGACTGGCTGCTTGGGCCCAGCTGGAGGCCAAGGCAGGACATACTCTTTGCTGGGGTGCTCAAGGCACAGCTATTACCCTTCAGCCTCTCCTGGAACTTCTTCTGCAGGGTCAGCTCAATGTGGGCATGTTCACGGTGTCCCCTTGCTCCGGCTCCATCGCTCCGTGGGGCCAGCAGCAGATCACGGTGGAGTGCCTGGCAGGGCAGGAGGGGACTTGTGAGGAGCAGCTGTACATTGACATCGTGGGCAGAGACCCCAGGGACAATCCCCTCGGCATTCCCTTTACCCTGACTGCCGAGTCCTGCCTGCCAGGTACGTGCTCTCCACAGGTTCCCTTGGCCAGACCTGCTGCTGATCAGCACCTCAACTTGCTGCTTGGATAGGGAGGCATGCTAGCCCTGGTGTCCCCCCTTGAAATCCTCAGAGTTTCCAGCCCTCTTAAGTCCACTGGTGGATTCATCCCTCCCCAGCTGAGAGGGATGCATGGAAGGATAAAAGGAAAGCAATGCTCTTTAAGACTCAGGTTGACTGAGCTCCATCCTCATAGCCAGCTCCCCCACCCAAAGCTGGGTTTAGCAGTTACCTGGGCAGAAAGAGCTTACCAAGCCTTCTCAGAGGCCAGCAAGGCCCAGATGAATGGAGGCTTCTTCATGCTCATCCCTCTGGTCTGTCCACAGCATTTGCTGAGGATGCGATGTTAATCTTCGAAGAATACCCGATCTGCAGCAGCACTGACCTCAGCCACAAGCTGCTCTCTGTGCACGGTGTGGGCCTGTTTGTGAGAGATGAAAACAACTTCATCTTCAACAAGATTCTGGTTGGGCAAGAGGCTGAAGCCCACTTCAACATCTACAACACAAGTGCTCTGCCGTGTGACGTGGTCCTCTCCATCAGCCCCCTGCCAGGACAGGTAAGAACAGGAGGCCAAGGAGATGGTTGCCCTCTAAGGGCCGTGTGAAAGCTGTTTTGTTCTCCAGATTGCTTCCTGTGGCCCACACTAGCTCAGTGTAGGTCAAACTTCAGGGCAGAGCAGCAGAGCCAGGGAACAGTTGTGTTGAATTCTCATGTCTTGGGCAAGGTTTTGGCTCACACCTCTGGGTCTTTGGTGGGAGAAGTGAATCCTTCTGAACCTCTCTTGGAAGCACACTCAGAGAGGGGCTGTTATCAACTGACATGCCAGGGCTCAAAGCAGAGCATCTCCTCAGGCTCCCTGGCTTTTCCTCTCTCTGAAGGCCAGTTGTAGGTTATTTGCAGGGTTTTCCATGCAGTGACCACCTCCCACATAGGGCAGGGCAGCTGCCAGCACTCAGAACACACAATGCTTTAGCACAAGGTCAGCATTCCCTGCTTGAACAACTCATCCTTAAAACAACAGCCCCTGAGTTCACAGCCCATAAACACACCTCTAGGAGGGCTGTGAAAATGGGAAGAGCTGTCACAATGCAAGATTTTTGCCTGGCTGGCTGCTATTCATGGAAAAGAGAAGCCAGGAGAAAACTGCTTCTTGTAGAAAAGTCTCCATAGCATGACAAGAAAAAACTCTTCTTCTTACAAGGACTGATCAAAGACTATTGTAGAGTTGATACTGCTTTACCATCCCAGGTTTTGTCTCCCAGTGGTCAAAAGTGGGAAAAGAAAAAGTTGGGTAGGGGGAGAAAAAGTGTTCTGGAGGTTTTATTCTGATGTTTCTTATTCCTGTAGTCCTGTTGATAAAATTTCTTTATTCCTTTTAAGTTTTAAACCTGTTTTACCCTTCTCCTAATCCATAGTTCACAACAAAAAATGCATAAGTGTCCTGGTGATTTTAGCCAGTGCTAAACCCCACCACATTATTTAGTGCATTGACTGAGAAACTCCAATTAGCAAATCTAAACCACTACAGACATGCTGTTTTCAGTAATGCCTTTATGAATGAAACTGTGTCGTGCTGGAAGGTGTTTTCTCCTAACACTGCTCTCTGGCTTCCCCCAAGGAAAAAGGCCCTATCACCGTTTTCAAGTTGCATCCAGTCCAGATGTCCATTCCCGGCTCATCCCACGCTGTTGCTACAGTGACCTTCACCCCTCCAGACGAGCAGAACTACGACTGCACTTTTAAGGCTTCCCTTGTCATCCCCAAATGGTAATTGACCCTGAGAAATATTGGGGGAAGCCTCTCTGACAGCTGCCTCTCCACTGGGAAGGCACAGACCTCTTGTTAGCTCTAATGCTCTCAGCAGCCTTAGGCAGAGTACTTGGCATGAGATGATCTGGGAGGCAGTCACTGTTGGATAGAGCAGAAAAATGAGGCAGATTTGTCATACAGGTTTAGCCTGTATGAGCAAATAGGAAGACAGGGAAATAGGTAGCCAACTGGAAGTTACTGAGATGTGCTACAGCTGAGCTGGGCATTTCCAAGGACAGAAGCTTAGATGGATCAGTTTCTGTGGCAGCAAGTCAGCAGTCACAATTTCCTCTTGGTTTCTGTGACATTAATGATCCTCTGTGATTCCCTGCATTCATGAAGCTATTTCATGTGAGTGATGGGAGCTGGTATGAAAGAGGAGCCCTGTTCCTCTGCACTGGGACCTGTGTACAGGGGCTTTGACCTGCCCTTCCTCAAGCCTTTAGTGGCTGAATTGGAGCCAGAGAAGTCTAATTGCTAATAAGCAATTGCTTTTCTATTGTTCTTGGAAATGATCTTGGTGGATGGTGACAATGATTTCTTTTTGCCTTCTTGCTTTTGTACTGCTTTCATGCTGTGCTTTTTTTGCTTGTTGCCTATGTCTCATCTCACTGCAGCCAGGGGATTTGCCATATCTCATCTGGTGCCTCATTATGTATCTGCTGTACTGCATGATTGAATTAAGTGAAATTACTTTTAACTGTTACTGTGGAAGGCTCTGGCTCTTTGGACAGGTTCCTCTTGTGAATGGCCCTGAGGGGATTGGGAAGAGGCTGGTGGGGGGCTGTGTTGTGGGCTACAGGAGCACCAGGCAGGGAAAACAGTGTGGACTGCCCCTGCTGCTTGGCTTGCCCAGTGAGAAATGGGTTAGTGCCAGCTGGAATTGTTTGTGTGCCTCTCCTGCAGCTCTGTGAAAATCACGTCCGTAACAACGGCATCGTACCTGTCAAGGTGAGGACCTGCTCAAGGAATGGGCTGGTTTGGGAATAAGTGCTTGTGGCACAGGGGGAGGGTCCCAAAAACCATGGCAGACCTGGCAAGAGGTGTCACAAATTCTTTTTAAGCAAGGGACTGACATCTGTTCTCCAAGAAGGGAGTTCTTGAAAATTTTCCATCCAGTCTTTCTTCTTTAAGTTGAACACAAGGAAGGTGGTGGAGTATTTCCCCCCATCTTTCAGGTTTGTTCTCAAGGAATGTGTGATTTTCCAGTTCCATTAGGTTGTATTCCCCAGTTTACTATATTTTAAGCAAACTTAGTTGTGGTTTAATTATATTCTGCTTATTGCTTTCTGTCCTGTTTGGTTCCGTGTTGGTTCAATCCAAATGGCTCTAAAGAGCCCTTTTTCCCAGCTGGTTTGACTTAACTTTTGTGCTCAGTGCTGTTTGCAGTGGGAGAGGTGCTGGGTTCCTATGCAGGACCAGCAGCACTGTGGTGTCAGTCCCTGTGCCATCCTGTACTCACACCAGTATCATTGTGCTCTGTGTTCCCTTTTCTCAGTTTATGTTACACCTGGAGGATGAGCATGGAGCATTCTTCTTGAAAGCCAGGCGCTCCACACTGGAGAGATTCCACACTGAAGATGTGGGAGAGGACTCTGTTGAAAATGGTAAATTCGTTAACCATGAAGTGCGATGGTGCACAGAGGGAAAACGTGTGCCCTGCTCTTGGCTTCTCTGAGCTGCAGCCAGATGTTGGACACACTTTCTTTCCTTGGGCTCTCTGTCCCCCGAGCTTTTCATGGGGACCTTTTGCAGGGTTTCCTCCTAGCAAGGAGTAGGAAGTTCTTGTGTTCTTCTAGACGTGGTGGGCTGGGTTCTGGGGGACTCTCACTGCCTCAGTGCAGCCTCTGAGGTATTTGCAGCATGTGGCAAGGTCCCAGCCTGAACGGACACAGCCCTTGAGCACACAGGCAGCCAGCAGAAGCCCAAAGTGCTCTTTGGCTCAGCTTTCCATGTGGCTGGAGCTGTCTGGAAGCGATGGAATGAGGGCTGGGCATCAACCTGAGGTTAAGCTGCTTAAGTGGTGATGTGTCTGGAGATGGCAGTCTTGTGAACATAAGAAGAGGGTCGGGAACCACTGCGGGTAGAACAACCTGTGCTCAGAAGGCAGCTGGTTTCAACCTTCTGTTCCTCATATATGGAAATATTTCCTCTGTACAACTGTATCACTTAATTCTGATTTCCATTGCTGTGCAGAGAGCAAGCCCCCAGGGAAGCCTCTCCTGCTTCTGCATCGTGGGCAATCGGCAGAGTTTGATGTCATTTTCAATCCCACCCTGGCTCAACGTGTGGAAGGGAAGATCCGCGTTTTAGTGGGGGACACCTACTCTGACAAGACCCTGATAGAGCTGGTGGGTGAAGGCCACAAGGATGAATTCAGCTTCGACTGTCTAGAGGAAGACCCACAGTTGAGGAATGATAAGAGCAGTTTGAACAAAGACATCATTGATGGTAAGAGAGGAGAGGCTGCCAAGGTGGAACAAGGAAGAAGAAAATATCTGATCATGTGTGTCCTCTCTCTAGGCAGGCCTGGGCTGTCACCCCTGGACATGGAGGCCTGTGGGTGTGGCAGCCATGCATGCAGAGCAGTGTGTGCTGTGCTGCATGGCGCTGGCTCAGGGGTGTGCCAGGGTGTTTCCCTGAAAGATGGGGAACTGCCTGGGGAGCTCCCTGCCAGAGGGAGGAAGGCTTGGAGCAAGGAAGCATTGAACATACAGGAGTCTGTGCATGTGAGGGGGGTGGGGTGGAACTCCCTGCATGCTGAGATCCCTTGCTTTCCTCCTTAACAGCTGTCAGACTGAACCACATCCAGTTTGGGGACTGTCCTGTTGGGAAGCCCTGCCACAGGATCTTCACCATCACCAACCACACCGGCATGATGTTCATGCGCTTCGAGTGGGAGGCAGACGTCCCATTCCAGTTCTCCCCCAGGGTGAGTGGGGGCTGCTCTGCCTTTCCCCATTGCTCAAGCCCTGCCCTGGCGTTCCTGGGAGCTGGCAGGGAGACCTCACATGCCAGTGCTAGCCCATTCCAGTGCCACACAGGAGATGCACTCCCTGGCTTGGCTGGGCCAAGGCTGCCAGCCTTGCAGAAAAGGCTTCGCGTTATGGGAGGTGGTACCTTCTCTTCATACTTTTGTCTATCAAACTTCACAGAAATCCACACTGAGGTGCAGGTTCCTGGCACAGCTGCTCACCACATCAGTCCCCTTTGCTATATCAGTCCTGCCCTTGGCAGTGCTTCCAGTTTGGTCTTGATTCCCTGATTCTCCCTAGGTGGGACATCTCCACCCTGGCTGCACCAAGGCCATCACAGTGACCTTGACCTTGAAATCAGATGTCCCAGCCACCTTCAGGAGGCACCTTGTGAAATGTAAGGTGACCAAGATCAAATTTGAGCTGCCACTATGGAATGTTCCGGACTGGGACGACGAAATGCGCACTGTCATGTGGAAGGACATCACCGGGAACCAGGAGCCAGCAGCCCAATGGCCTGAAAAAGAGAAGGTAAGAAGCAAAATGGCAAACAAAGCCACCACAGCTTTTCCAAAAAGAACCACCATAACACCATCACTGCTGGCTGAGCAGCTCCTGCTTCCTCTGGACACTGGACAGCCCTGAGGTTCACCAGCAGGGCATTCTAGGGGAGAGGTGGATGCACATGACCCTCCCCTCACACAAGAGGGAAAGCCTTTAGACAAGAGACCATTAGCCACACACTATCAGTCTGGGCCACAAGCACAAGTGCTGCAGCCCATGTTGAATGGGAGACAATGTTTTTGATTATCTCATTTTATGGTGTTTGAAATCTCTCCATATGATTTGGTGCCTTTTCACCAACAAGGAGTTAAGTCTGCTGCACTCTGTCTCTTCTTTAGAAGTGGAGACAAATACACTTCTACTGCACCTGCTGGTGAATGCCAAGGTTTGTCTCCATGGATACCAGAGATTTTGGTTGTGGTCTCTGTATTGGGAGGGTTATCTCATCATGGAGTAGCCCAGGCACTGTGTGACCGTATGGAGGAGTCCGGAGAAGGATCATCTCTGGAGACTCTTGCTTTTATTGTCATTATTGCCAAACACACTCAGCTTGGGTGAAGGCTCTTTCCAAGTTTCTGGACCATTTTAAGGCCTCTAAACCATCCTCTTTTCTATCAGAACATCTGCAGTTGGACACTTTCCTAGTGAGATCTTTCACATCCCAAAATGCCCATCCCCAGCTGCCAGCAGTGTGGCTGTTGCTCCACAGGTGACATCTGGAGAGCACTTTCTCCTAAGACAAGAAGAAAAAAGTGCTTCCTAGAAGTCTGCAGTCATGGGGTTCTCCACCCACAGAGCTCCAGCAGGGGAACTTAACCCTAATTTTGAGACCTGCTGGATTTCTAGGGGACCAGGGAAAAAGTCAGTCCCTCTCCAAGGTTGAAGTACAGGGATTGGAACGCCGCTGTAGTCTCCATGGGTACATTAACAGCTGTGCTAGGACTGCTTTGATCAGTGGGCAGAAACAACTACTGCAGCACAACAGTCCCAATTCTGTCATCTTTCCAGGGAAGTAAAAGTGAATGGTCCTTTCTAGTCCCTCTATGAGGCTGATGTTGGAGGCCCAAAGATTCCCTTCTCAGCCTGACTTTCTGGGCTCTGCTCAGCGATTCTTTTCTCCTCTTTTGCAGACAGTGGAGACAGTCCCGGAACCGGCTCACACTGTGCTGAAGAAGAGCGGCCAGGAGGCCGAGCTGTGCCTCAGTGCCTTGGTTGCCTACGCCCAGTTCAAACTGGACACAGTCGTGGTTCAGCTCAAGGACACCTTGCCCTTCCAGACAAGGACAGCCACGTGAGTGCTGAGGCCAGGCAGGGCCCTGCCAGCGGGAGCTGCCTTTGTGGAACTTTGTGCTGGCCGTGGCTGGGGAGACAAAACTCACGACTCGAGCTCCAGGTGCTCAGGAGACAAAACAGCCTCATTTATTATTCAGAGCTCACTGAAATACCCAATGCAAATCTCCTGAGCTAGACAGCCATTGGCTGAGATCTCTCTCCTGCCCAACTTCCTGGCCAGTGCTGTGCTCACTTCTCAGCTTGGATGGGGCTGGCCAAGGGTCCCCTGTAACTTACCTGGGAACACGTTCAGGCATGAACTAGGCCAGCTGAATTGGATTTGTGTTATGGCCACATTCACTGTGTCCAGTCCAGACCAGCTGTACTGTGACAATGCTGTGACACCTTTGCCCAGGGCTGACCCAGTGCCTGCTTCCCAGAACTCCACCCCAGCCAAAACCAGCACAGGCTTGTTCACATGCATGCCAAGCCAAGCAGGAGAGGGTGGTCAGGAGAGGCTCAATGCTGCCATTTTCTGCTGAGAACAGCCACGGGTTTGCTTTCACTGCGTGTCACCTGTCCTCATCTGCTCAAGAATAAGTTTGCAGTCAAACAAGACCTAAAGAAAGTCCAAAGTAAGCCCCTTAGCTTCAATGTCCTGGGCACCATGTTGGCCCTTTCCTCTTCAACTTCCAGACTTCGAAATACTTTTCTGGGCCACCCAGGAAGGACAGCAGTCTGAGCATGGCAGGGTTGCCTGGGGAAGAAGATGCTCCTCAGCAGAAAGTGGTAGCAGGAGTCCCTCAGACAATGTTACTGTACTATTTGCTTTCTATTTATTGGACTTTTTTTTTTAATTCCTCCTTCTTGCTTTTCAGTTTCAGGATGCACAACACAGGGAAGGTGGCCCTGGAATACTTCTGGGAGGAAGCTGCTCCTGCAGATAGTGAAGCAGTGAGGATGCCATATTCAACCTCTCTGATGGGTAAGGGCATTTCACTTGGTAGCTGAGGGCCTGGGGAGAAGACCCTGCCCCTTCACCCCAAAACTTGAATTCCTTTTTCCTCCTTGTCCACACGTTCACTTTCATCAGCATCTTCCCAGCTGCAGCTGGAGAGTTTTCTCCTTGCCCCCTCTGCCTTTCAGCCCCTTTTGTTCTTGCTCTGCCACTTCAGCTCTGCAAAGGAGCTGAGCCAGGCTCTGGGGAGAGCCACGTGCTGGGTCAGGACTGGGAGGGGGGACATCAGGTCATTGCTTTGAGAAGTCTGAGACTGGGGAGAGCAATGGTGTAACGAGTGAGCTGCCCTGCAGCCACTGTCTGTGTGCAGTTCCCCACTCCAGGGCAGCTGCAAAGTCACTGTCTAAAACCAGCTCCTGCTTTGGCACAGGAGTGTGTGCTGCAGCAGAGACCCTGCTCCCAGAAGCTCTGTTCCCTGCTGGGAACTTGGCCAGAGATGCTCCGAGTGCATCCCAGCTCTCTTCCACCTATGTGCTGCTGCAGGAGGCAGCGTTGCTGGCAACACAGATTTTGTCTTTGAATGGTGTCCTCTTCCTCTCTGCAGGTGGGCTCATCTCTGCTCCTGTTGTAAGGCAGCGCAGAAAGCTGGTGCTTCTTTTCCGGGGGGAGCAGGACCATCCTTTTGAGACGCATCCTTCTGAGCTGCGGCGCCTACAGTGGCTTGCCGAGGAGCAGCAAGATTCCGAGCAGGAACAGCTGCAGGATTCCGAGCAGGAACAGCAAGATTCTGACCAGGAGCAGCTTTCTGAGGAAGAGCAGCTGGATGCCAAGCAGAAGAAGAGTTCCAAGAAGTGGTGCCGCTCCAAGGAATGGAATCTCTCCCCGCAGCGTGCCACTTCCTCCCTGGAAGTCCTCCCAGATGTCACCCATGACCAGTCACTGTTCTCCATCAACCCCAACTTCGGCACCATCGCTCCTGGCCAGAAGAAGACCTTTCATGTGCTCTTCTCCCCAAAGGATGTGGGGAACTTTGAGACCACCATGCTGTGCAGGTGGGAAACATGGACACACTTGCCAACTCACACTTCTGATGGCTATCACTGAATCACAGGGTGGGACAGGGTGGAAGGGACCACAGGAGGTCATCTGGTCCCACTTCCCTACTCAAGCGGGGTCATCCCAGAGCACATGGCACAGAGCAGTGTCCAGAGGGCTCTGCAATAATTCCAGTGAGGGACACTCCACACCCTCTCTGGGCAGCCTGTCACCCGCAAAGGGAAGAAGTTCTTCCTCAGGTTCAGGTGCAATTTCCTGTTCAGGTTCTGCCCGTTGCCTCTTGTGCTATTGCTGGGCATCACCAAGCACAGCCTGGTTCATCCCCTAACACCCTCCCTTCAGTCCCTCTGACCGGGATGGGGAGGTGGGCCTGGAGACAAGCAGTCCCAGAGAGGCAGCAGCTCCCACAGGAGCGCAGAGAGATCATCTGGCCTTGGTAGGGAGACACTGGCAAAAGACACTGTATGAAACATTAAGCTCCTGGAGGGTTGCAAGATCTTGAATGAGAGACCCAGGGACCAGCCAGTCCCTAGCTCTGCTTCTGGCACAGAGCTGCTCACTGCTTGCACAGAGGGAGGATGCAATGCTGTGTGCTCTGCAAGGAGGCAGAAAAGCGTCTGGCTGGAAATGTTTCTCTGGCTAATACCAGTCCCTTTCTCCCCAGCATTCCTAACCTGGAGCAGACTCACAGGACGGTGCAGGTGGTTCTGAAAGGCAGAGCCCGGCAGTGGAAGCGTTTTGAAAAACCGAAATGCTCTGCCTTACAGCAGACAGAGGAAGGCCAGGGACACAAGAAGCAGCTGCACTGGCAACCAACACCACAGTGACAGCATTTGTGTCAGCTGGAGCATCCAGCAGGAGCCAGCAACATCTTGTTTCCTACTGCTGATGGTGTCCCACCCTTTACATGCGACCTCTGCAGCTGCCCTTCCCAGCTCCAGCCATCATCATCTTTTAATTAATTTTGTTAATTAAATAATTGTTTGTTAATTTGTTAAATAACTTAAGTTTCAGTTAACTGTAAATAAACACTTGCTAATAAGTTGTTAACTGTTAGCCATGGTGCCAGAGATCTTTCCTTAAACCCCACTACCCCAGTTCAAACCCCCAAGTTAGTACATTCTGAGGTTCCCCCCAGTTGTCTCCAGTTACTCCGTTCACCCTCTCCTCCCTGGTGTACCCAGAATGGCTCCTGGAGAGCACAAGATGGTGGGGACCGCATGGCCAGGCCCCTCCCTTGTACTTCTCCTCCCCAAAATCCTTTCCTTCTTCCTACTTCCAACCCCTTCTTCCCTGATGCTCCTCCCCCTGTTATCTCTCCTCCTCCAGTTGTCCCTCCCCTTCCTGTCCCCTCGGACCCCTCCTTCTCCACTTGGGCTCCTCCTCCTGAAAAGGTCCCCACCCCTTCCTTTCACAATGGCCCCTCCTCTGAGCCCTCCTCTTTCCCCTGCAGCACCGCCAACCCTCTTCTGACTTTCAGATCCCACACCCCTCCTTCTGGTTCCCACACCCCGTGAGCCACAAGT